AGAAGGTTCACACTGTGGGCGAACAGCGGAAGAAGCGTGCGGAGTTGTTAGAGCTGGCCTGCTGCTGGCGCAGAGAACTCGAGAACCACTTCTTCTCGGTAGCCGACACCTACGCCCTGCCCAAGTTCTGGCAACAACCGCTCGCCAACTTCGACAGACTCATCTTTGTGCTGCAGAGGAAGGTAAAGTCGTGGTAGATCGTTGAAATTGAATGACGAATAATGCAGAATATATCGTTTGAAGAATCTAGCATTTTTCTACTTTTTTTTCTGTCCGAAAAGGACTTCAAGTACCAGAGTTATCAATCAACCAATGAAGAATTGAGGTGTTAAAACTGTTTTTTTTTGTGAACTCATTTTCCAAGATATATCTTAGAATAATTGAACTCTTTCACCAAGTAGGTGTAACAGTTATCATCACTACATAGTTCTAAACGATGTGCCGCGTGCCTGCAAAGCTAATGTGTTACAGCGAAGGGTGGTTATATATATATATATATATATATATATATATATGTATGTATGTATGTATGTATGTATGTATGTATGTATGTATGTATGTATATGTATATATATATGTCAGTCAGTCTATAGAGACTATATAAGGGTGGTTATACCAGCTGTACAAATGCAGAGGCTGGTATTCAAGTGTGTTATGCCAAAGTTATACCAGCTATACAGGTACAGTAAAGTACTTGCCTGTGTCACCAGGTGGAGGAGGCCAAACCCCTACCGGAGGAAATTCTCGCCGCGCCTGCAGTGCAGCGTGAGCTTCGCCAGGTGGCGTTAGAAGTGGACGACATCTTAATTGGGGCCGTGGACACCGACCTCAAGTGTCATCTGTGCCACGAAGTCTTAAACAAGGTGTGTTTTTAACCTTCTCCTAGCCTCTACTAGGCTTCGGGAAGCGGCTGGAAAGAGTAGAAATCTGCCAAATAGAGAGACAGCATACCAGGGGAGTTGGGGGTCAGCCGAGCGGCAAACTGTTCTCCTTGGCATGTTATCTCTCTATTTGGCCGATTTCTACTCTGTCCAGCCGCTTCCCGAAGCCTGGTAGAGGCTAACCTCCCTGCTGCCTAACTCCATAAACAATACAAATTCAGTGCCAAACTGATACCTTAGCAGGATGAAGATTAAAGTAAGAACGGTTGTAGTAATGGCTGTCTTGATAGCTTTTCAGTACCCTGGACAAAGCCTATAGAGTATCATATCTTTACACTACTTCTTCGTATTCAGGTACATCTTGGTTACTTCGGTCACTGAAATTATGAGGAATCAGAGAGAATTTTTATTTCAAGTTTGCTTGTATGTTTAGCTGTTTTGTTGTTGTTATTTTTTTTCATCTAAGATGGAGAAAACGACAATACAGGTTATGATACAATGTCATGTAGTTTCCCAAAGTTTCACTTGCTAAAACTCACAGAAAGGTTGAATACATGAAAAAATGAGAAAGACTGAGGTTGTACAGTCGAAAATTTGGATAAGTCCAATCCTTTGTGTTTAAACTGCAGCTTCGTTGAAAAAAATGAGATTATGCGTCAAACTTGAAAGTCATTTGCTTGTCTTTTTTCTCTTACTTCTCGATCCCGTCAGGCCATGGGGTTGACCGGCTGTGGTCACGTGTTCTGTGCCTCCTGTCTTGACCAATGGCTGACGGAGAAGAGAAAGTTCTGTCCCACTTGTAAGGAACGCGTGAATCCGGAGACAGACCTGCAACCTGTTCTCAGGTACAGGTGTCATCATCTTGTTTAAAGTTAAAACTTTTGAAAATTTTGATCCAACACAGTTAACTTCTCTCATCTAGAGCTTTTGACCAGTCACTCAGGCACTCAGTTGCACTGGACACAGTAAGAATATAGAGGCTGTTTACATCAGGGCCCGTCACTTTTCACTCAGCCGCGACGGGGGCTGACATTGTCTACCCAAATACCTTTGACCCAGTGTTGACGTCACACTTCAAAGAAGCCACGTGACAAGTCTCACTGGGTCAGTCTATTGAGGAAGACCAGAGTGACTGGTCGAAAGCTCTAGGGCAGAGGACTTCTTTGTGTTGGATCTAAAGTTTTAACTTTAAACATGTAACTACCAACACAGATGTGATTCAGTCGAAAATTCCGGTGAGTGAAATTTATGAGTTGGAGAACAGTTTAAATTTTTCATATTGTAATTTACCAACTCAGATGAACTTTCATGCTGACAAACTTATGCCATTGTTCTATCCGGTTATGACACTACAGGTTCACCTGGATGTGGCTGGAGGAGGAACCCCGTCTCAGCGAACCGGGTCAGCTCATCTGTGACGTGTGCAAGATCTCCCTGTGCCACGCATGCGCGCAGAAGACCGCCAGTCTGGAGGCGTTTGTTCGCTGGTTGGAGATTAACAACATGGACCTGGACACGGCTGCGCAGGTCTGTGCCGAGGTGGAGAACATGCGGCTGGCGCAACGCCGCCGGAGGATCAGTATCTAATGTAGCAACGCCGTGGTACATAGCCTCTACCAGGCTTTTCTACGGCATGACTGAGATAACGAGTCACGTACGGTGACTGCTAGCCTCTACCAGGCTTTGGAAAGCTAGCGGCTGGAAAGAGTAGAATTCGGGAGCGGCAAACTGTACTTTTTAATAGGCTAACAATTTCTGCTCTTTCCAGTCGCCTCCCAAAGCCTGGTAGAGGCTAACAGTCAGAGTCATCGTAGATTGTCGGGTTGCTATCAGCTTTAAAACATGTTTTGCTGTAAGCTATTGCTATGTGTTATGAAAATGTTATTGAAAAATTTTTAAGCATACGTTTAAATTGATATTTGGATCCTTCGTGTATTCGTGAGAAGTGATTCGGTCATCACTGTAAAGTATATAGAGGAGGCAGTTTGTACTTTCAAACGTTTTGTAGAATGTGTTGTATTGTTGAATTTCCTATTGTTCTGTACATATAGACCGACTGGGCTTAACTTTTAGTAAAGAAATGTACAAGATACACTATTGATAGGTAGGGAGTAAAAGAATGTATTATCAAATGGCATAGAATAGAAAGTCAAGTTCACTCAAAACTCCTTTTACTGTACAAGCATAATGCTCGCTCTGACTTTTTGATGTCCTTGAGTGTTTTTTTCAATTGAATAAATCAAGTTACAAGATGTGATCAGCAGAATCTTATTTTAATTATGAAAAGAAAACTTGAACATGAACCCACAGTATCACAACTTAATGAATATGCTAATGGTGTATATATAATAGTTAGATGACACTGTAATATCAAGAACTATGTACTGCCCTTTGCAATATCAACCTCACTTCGCAGTTGGCAGTGTTTCTAACCCGTCGTCATCCACGCTTAAAGACTGGAAACTCTCGAAAACTTCGCCGATATCCTGCTCCGGAATCAAGGTTTGGTTTTCTTCCCTTCCACTCTCTGTGACTTCAGTGGGGTCTTCAACAATCTCCGTGTTGTCTTCGATGAGACCCTCGGAATCTTTTCGGGTGCCGTCGACAATCTCCGTGCTATCTTCGTGTTGACCGTCGGAATCTTTTCGGGTGTCGTCGGCAATGTCCGTGACAACTTCGTGTTGATCTTCGGAATCTTTTCGGGTATGGTCGGCAATTTCCGTTATAACTTCGTGTTGACCATTGGAATCTTGTCGGGTGTCGTCGACAATTTCCGTGACATCTTCGTGTTGGCCCTCGGAATCTTTTCGGGCGTCGTCGACAATCTCCGTGGCAACTTCGTGTCTTTCTTTGAGATCTTTTGGCTTCTTCTGGTTCTCTTTTTCCCCTGGTTTCAATCCTTTTTCGTACCAGCGGAATCTAGAAAAATATGCAAGAGATTTAGAGTGATTGATACACTGTACATACAACCCGTCGATAAGTTAAATACAACCCTAGCAAGAGTAATAGGGTACATTCATTATTTACAATGTAGTCGGACTATATCCCAAACTGACAGAGGGACAGCTAGCCATACGAGGGACAGAACAAACCAACGACAGGGATCTTAGACTACCCACGCGCACATATCTTTAACAAAGTACCAGATATGCATACGACTATTCCGAAGAAATACCTTCATTTTGCAATCTTACGACAAATGCGACCGAAAGGATTGAAACTCACGTACCTCCAGACGGGTAGGAAGCGCGTGCCCTTGAGTGCGGTGTTACAGACGGGACACAGCGCCCCCGCGCGGAGGCAGTCGGCAACGCAGCCGGTACACAGCTCATGCCCGCACACCTCGAAAGCAACCGCCTATATAAAAAAAAACGGTGAAGAAACGTTTGTGAAAAATTTCATCAGGTTGTCAAGATATTGTATAAGATATGCCAGAAGTTTCTTTATTCAGTAAATGGTTTACTGCATCTAATAGTGGTCTGCTCTGATAATTCTTACTCAAACACATTCATATACATGTCAGACAGGAGTCTAAATCCCTCCTGCTATAAAATTACAGCATGATGTAACCCAACAGCAGTTGCCATGGTAACAGTCACAACATTGGTTCAGGTCATTGAGGTCACTGTTTGGAGAAGAAGAGGAAGAAACTGAGCAAAAACGACGTTATCCTTCGGTAAACATAAAAAGGACCAACCTCGCTAAACTGCCTGTTGCACTTGGGACACAGCAGATTTCTGCACGCCTTATCAAAGTTCTCGTAACCTTCTTCAAACACTTGCAGAAACGTCTTCTGTGGCGCCAACTTCTTAAGATCCCTTTTCTTCACTTTCTTTCATCTCTGCAGTCCTCTCCCTCAACGCCAAGACGAGCTTGTCGAAGTTGGCCACCTGAGCTTTCCAGCATTTCGGAATCTTGTACTTGTCTGCTACGGCAAAGAACGTCTTGGCGAAACTCTTGCGGCTGAACTCTGTCCAGAGATACAACTCCTCAAGTCGGCACTTCTGTTGACCAAGACTCAGCTTGGTTTCCAAGGGAAACGGGAGAGGGATGTGAGCCCAGAATTCGACACCAGGGACGATGAACAAGGAGAGAGTGTTGAAATCACCAGGGGTGTTCATCTCGAGTTGTGTGTAGCAAGCGTCGAACCAGGCGATGCGAGAAAACAGGTCGGGGAGGGTCTCGAAGAAGTAGTGCCCGAGGTCCGAAGGGTTGACTCCTTTCGGGAGGTGCCTGCCGTATGCACGGACGGTCACTCTGCGCAATATCTCTCTGTTAAACTGCTGTCGACGGATGTTGAGTTTTTCGTGAAGCTTGTCGTCCTCGCCTGTCTTTCTCCCTTCTTTCTCAGGCCCCTGCCATGTGGCGCCAGCTTCAGTTTCATCCGCTGATGTTAACGATTCGCAGACCATCTCGGTAATAGTTGGTCTGCGAATCCTGTAGTCCTGTTCCTTTAGAAATTCTTCCCCGCATTCGTCAATAATGTCGTTCATCCATAACCAGAGTTCCATCTCGTCTTCATGATCAAAGTCGACGACAGTTCTGGAGTCTTCCTTTTTAATCTTTGCGCTCGTTCGCGGGGCACATGCGCCCGCTACGTCGTCTTGGGAAGTGTCACATTTGCCAGAAACTGTTGCCGAGTTCTCAGCATTTGAGTTCTCCGCTACTTTTGGTCTGTTGGGTCTTCCGTGGTGGCTAGTTTCTCTGTATTCACTTGTTCTTGACATTCGCCCACTTTATCGTCTTGGGAAGTGTCACACTTGTCAGAAACAGTTGACAACTTTTCTTTCTGTGATTTTTCTGCTGTCTTCGCTTCTGCTGTGTCTTCCGTGGTGGCTAACTTCTCTGTCTCCGCCTGCTCTTGTCCTGGGTCGGAAGGTACGGGCTTTTCTTCGAGGTTTTGTGTCAATGTTTGGTACTTCTGGATGTGACGCTGCCTTGCTACCATCATCGACGGAATGATCCGCTCCCTCTACACTACTTTCTGCCGACTGACTATCTTCTACAGGCACAGGCGCTGCCAACTCAGTACAGTCCCCAGATCCGGCTTGTTTACTCTCATTAGGACTAACGTTTGGGTACTTATCTTCGGCGTTAGTTGGTGATTCTGTGTCTTCCTTCTTAGCGGAAGCACTCTCTAGACTTTCTCCCAGATCCGGCCGTTCGTCAATGTCTCCGTGCAGTGTCACTGATGTGGTGGTAGACGGCAGGGTCTCCATTTTAGGATCGTGACAACTTTCAGACCTGCTCTACTCCAACAGTAAAGTTTGAATGGATTCTTAGAACTCTGTGGTGCAACTGTGTTCTATATTTTATCCTTACAAAATGGTGCCCCAAAAACGAAGATATACGCCGTTTTCGGTTGCAATACCTTTGAAAAGTGAGGTTTGGTAACTTTGTAACATCATAAACTTGCTAAATATTTGAGCAAAGACTCTTGATTTCTGAAGATAAAACCCCCGTTCGTTAGGATTTGAATTTCCCGCGCAAATGACGTCATGTGTTCGAAGGGAAGAACATAGAACGCCGGTTCGGTTGGTTTCGAACGCGCGTTCGAACGGTCGATTTCCTTCACATTCTATTCACATTTGAAGATCTCAACTGCTGTTTATCTGTCATCCATCACGAAAGTTTCCTTCAAGACCCTGAAAAGGTGAGTTTTTCTCAACTTGGCTGTTTATCTATCACAAACAGGCATCCTTGACTATGTATGGTTATGTATGGAATGGTGAATCTGACACAGGCAACCACAAAGTCCCTGACCGATCTTGTAGTTTTGTTGATCTTTTTGACGCAAGAACGTAACGTCTAATCACCCTACTCATATGTACCATACGGTCATCGATAAAAATAGTCACGGTCATCAATGTTTTGGTTAACTCAATGTTGTATGTTGTTGTCAGTGTTTCCAACATCCTTGCAATATAAGTAATTCTTTAGGAAGTGTTAATCTAAGGTGAGGAGTCGCGATTATATCTCAAGGTCAAACTGTCAACATTGACATCAAACAAAAAAAGTGCTCCTGAAAAAGTCCTGGTATTTCCTCACAAAATGAAAGTTTTTCCCGATATGACATATACATGCATCTTAATTTTTTCTTCTCTTTCCTCAGGCACCATCAGAAGAAAAGATGGCCAGTATGAAAACTGTCGTTGCCTCAGCTTTAGTTTTAGTTCTGATGATTCTGAACCACCAAGGTAGGTTTTTGAGTCTGCCTCAGTTTTCATATGGTCTTTTCGTACGTGTTACCACTGCTTATAGATTGCAAAGATTGTGGGGTCGTGTGGCGTAGCGGCAGCGTGCTCGACTCGTAACCAAAAGCTCCCGGGTTCGAGTCCTGACATGCCACTGCTCTTGTGCCCTTGGGAAAGGCACTTTACATGACTTTCCTCACTTAACTCAAGTGAAAATGAGTATTGTCCTGTCCAGTATTTGTACTCTGTGTTGGTGGCGGTATAAAATAAGTTGATATAACATGAAATGTTGGAAAAAAGACGATTGCAAAGGACTCATTTTGCTCATTTCTGCGTACAGTGGAGGCGCGGAAGTGCTACATCTGTGTGGGTATCTGGGGCTATACCGTGATGGGGAACAGTGACTGTATGTACCCGTACTGGTACAACATGAAGACTTACACCTGTCCCGGAGGAGAACAGTACTGTTACATCAAGTACTCACTCAAGAACCTGGCTGCTGGTGAGAACATCTTTTAAATATATCATTTGTTTTAGTTATACAGAAGAACTGTATTGCAAGACAATTGTATCTGTTACAACATATGATAACATTTTATTCACTTCAGAATTCACCTCAAAACAAGGCTCGTGAGAGCCACTTACATGTTTTGGGTTACAATGATGACTGCGTGGTCAGATATTTGTTCACCTTTGATTTAAACCGTTGGAGGTTGTAATTAGCGGTGAAACATTCACGGGGAAGCTTGTTCCACAGTGAAGTGGTTTACAGTGGTTTGAAGTGGATAACATATACAGAACTAGTAGCTGATAATAATAAAACACTCTAAATTATGACATTATATTGCATCAGGAATGCATTACATTGCAGCGAACTGTATATAAATTTCATGACTGGTTTATAAGGTGGTAAGCCTAGCCTACTCTAAAGAAAAAAATAAAGTTTTGGAAAAAACAACTTGATCTAGTAACCTTTGGGTACTTGTTCAAGGTCTATTTGAAATGTTATATCCATGAAGGTTACACGTCACATCCAGGTAATATTGAGATACATACTATAGACAAGAATATTGTTACTCAAGCAACCGGATAGATTTTCAAAAGCTACCCAGTTGCTTGAGCAACAATTTTTCTTTTGTGTATATTAAAAGTTGTATATGAAAATTTCTCCATCTTTCTCTACAGACAAGGCTGCTGCAGTTGACCGCGGCTGCTCGGCTACCAGCGTGGCTCACACCTGCAGTAAGGGTGATGACGACTTCGAGACGTGCTACAGCACCTGTAACAGCGATGGCTGCAATGGCGCGTCCAAACCGACAGGGGTCCTCGCTGCACTGCTGCCGCTTCTCGTCACTGGGTTGTTCCAAGTTGTCAGGGGGTAGCTTGTCCCGATTTCTAGTCCGAAGTTATATGGGCTTAGTTATATGGGAATGTTTAGATTAAGATGTTTTGATGATATTTTGGACTTGAATAGATCTACCAAAAATCGTTATATTAAGATGTTTTATAATATTTTGGACTTAAATAGATATACAATAACCCGTTGTCAATGTTGTACATGTACGAATATACAATGGAATGGAACTTGTATAATTCTGCCTTGGCTTTGATATTCAGTAAGAATTTAGAGAATTTCAAAGAATTTTAAGAGTACATATTTTGTTTGTTGGTGTTTTGACCAGCAAATGACTATACGAAAGGAATAGATATGTGTTCCTATTGAACAACCAGTTGTTATAAAAATAGTTTTGGTAGAAATGCATGGTTAAATATACAAACTCGTTATTTATATAGAGATGAACGTAATGTGCCCTCTGTATATGAACATAAAAATTCATCTTGCTTCTCAGTTGTAAATATATCTAGCTTGATTTAAAACAATGTGTTACGACAATGTACACATGACTTAGGAATAAATATAGTGTTCTGTGAAGCATATATAGACATTGTGTACTTTCTTATATGAAATATGAATAGACATTATTATAGGAAATATGAAAGGACACCGGACTATAATTCACTCTCAAAATTGAAGAAACAAACTATCTAAAGCATCGCATCATTTGCACACTCCACAAAATGTGACCCCAAAGATACTAGTACAGTAACACCCTCGGAAGACCAGGTGGTGCCGTCGTGTCTGCATTTGCCTGTGGCCAATCTTCGCTCGGGACAAATTACGGACCGTTTTATGTACGCCCATGTCCACATATTCTCATCAACAGCCCAGGGGGAGTTAGGCCACTCTCAACAGCAGGATTCATCTGCAAATTATCTCTCTCCAGAGCTAAACATGACGAAGCTGGTGTGTTACGCCGAAGGGCGGTTATACTGGCTATACAGATACAGAAGCTGGAGGTGTGTTACGCCGAAGGGCGGTTATACCGGCTATACAGATACAGAAGCTGGTGTGTTACGCCGAAGGGCGGTTATACCGGCTATACAGATACAGAAGCTGGTGTGTTACGCAGAAGGACAGTTATACCGGCTATACAGATACAGAAGCTGGTGTGTTACGCCGAAGGGCGGTTATACCGGCTATACAGATACAGATAACCACACAGTCATCCAAAAGAGTAACAAGTACTAGTACAATTCACATACGTTTACTGATCTACCATAGTGCACTTTAACTGCAAAATGCTAGTAAAAATAGAAATGTGCAGATAACACCAGAAAGGTATGACTATTTAAAGCGGGCCCTTGAATGATGTAAAGGTCATCGCATTAATACGTTCCACCCACAATGCATTAGTTATTAATGGAGATATGCGAATGAAAACGTCCTTCAAAAGCTTTCATCAGTCCATGTTCGGTGAACCTGTAACAGAGCTGTGTTCAATAGCGTAATTGCATTAAAAAAACTGATGTACAAGCAAGATATAACACATTACATGCACTTCTATATTAGCCTGGGTGCCATCCCCCGTAGTATTCGCCCGCTCCCTAATGTCGCTAGCTCATCACCAGACGTTACACATGTCATCAAGTCCAGACCCAATGGTAGCTAGCGACATTAGGGAGCAGGCGAATACTATAGGGGAAGGCACCCAGGCTACTTCTATATAGCAACAAATATATTATGACACTAATATACCTTGTAATACACTATGTAATATGGAACGAGAATGTGCTTTAATAATATTTGGGAGAGTTTCTAGTGTTAAGGCATTTTTGTAAGTATGACTCCTGTATGTAAATTGCTATGAATATCGGCACTTTACATGCAATATTTTAATTTCTATTTGTGTAAAACTCAGCCTTGTCCCGAAAATTGCGTACCTACACTAAAATATAGAGGTACAAGAAGGATGTGTATTATACCTACATAAAAAACAAACCATCATACAGGAAGAATAAACGAAAATCTAGAGCAATCTGTCACCCAGACACAACTACGAACGCCACTTAGGCTTGATCAATGTGCACTAGAATTTAGGTCGCGGAAAAAACGTCAATACACAGGGCTCGAAATTAAAGATGGCCCAGTGGCCACTAAAATTTAGGCTATGACAACTAAAAAGACACTTTGAGACATTTTTGAAACAATAGAAATCAAAATAAATCAGAATGCCAGCCCTTCTTTTGTATATCAGGTACATGTCCCGGCTTTTGGATCCGAAAAAGTCCCCCCAAATTTCCTCTCTACTCTGCAATATAGGCAGGGCGCCTGGGAGTGAACATAAGCAAAATAAATCGACTTCAAGCAGAAGCCATATAATGCTTCCCAAAAAACAGGTTGGGACAGTTCATCCTCACTTCGGGACAATTGAAATTTTTGGGACAGTGGTGGAAGAAAAGTTAATTTCGAGGCCTGAATACATATCTGAAGCCGCTATTCATTATCAGATATGGAAACACATATCTTGTCCACATGGCGGCCTCGTTACTCAAGAATTCACCAGCGGAAATGTAGCCAACCAAATCTGTCAGAACTGTCGCCAGCCGGTTCCATCTGATGTAGCAAATATGGTAGCAGATCAAAACAGAGTCGTGCTGTGTAGAGGGAATTGTATCAACTGCGTGCATAAAGCGTTACATATAGTACGGATTAGTTGTGCTTATATAATGGATTTATGTTGTGGAGTTCCATCTTTTAAACGACAGGATGTCTCCAAAAATAACCCAGCTTTCAAATCCCTGATGATCTAGCTAAAAATGATGAATTTATGACCTTGCAATGTAAATAACTAACATATCTCATGAATTATAGAATGTAATAATAATACTCTCCTCAAGAAAAACATACAATAGATTAGCTTATATTTAAATTTGAAATTTATTATAGATAGTATGTTACTGAGTATGTTATAATATTTCATTATATCATATCATATCATAGTATAGTTCGTGTATCCACCCTTGTTGTTTCTTCTTTGCCATACATGATATTGTACCTGTTACAGTTGTTGAGCACTAAAGTTGATATAATTGCATACTACATGTTCACAAGTAGATCGCTATATGCCAACGCAGTGCCTGAGTGTTAGTTAGCTGGGGAATTGGCGAATGCTGTTGCGATGACAAGGTTCATATTCCGACCATGTGAATTCTGGGTTAATGGTATTCACATAGCTCAGGGGAGCTCGAGGTGGGGTAAGGGGATGGCAAGGGACAAACCAGAAATAATGATGGAGGAGTCACAAATAAGGGACCGACCGTGAATGAATGGGGGGTCACACACGTGCATGTACGTACATACACACACATACACATACACACGCTCAGACACACACGTACATATAGACACACACATAGACACACACACACACACACAACACACACACACACACACACACACACACACACACACACACACACACACACACACACACACACACATGCACGCACATACACACACACACACACGATATCCCCTATCTACATTATGCTACAGCGTAAGGCTATGACATATGTGGTGAAGACATCCAAATCTCGAGCTCATCCCACAGGGCGTCCACTTCACAACCCCGTGTTGTACCACGAGTCAGACCGCCCTTATAACATCTACATAGCAGAGGAGGAATTATCCAAACCTAAACGGAAAACCGATAGCAGAACACTTGGATCACGAACTCAGCACGTGCTTCATATTTAACACGCTGGAAGATTCCCGCAAGGCACAGTTAAAGCATCTTAGTGTCAATTTTTTATAAGCGACTTGAGTGCCTAATGACACATATGGATGCACCACGGCACGCATGCATCTATTGCATAAACTGTAGGTGGAACAGTGTTAAGATTTTCTCGAGTAATGTAAATAGATTGGCAATCTTCTATATTCAAATCATCATCTGCAAATCTTCAATATAGAAAATTAAGGTATATTTTCGAGGTAATTATACTAATAGTAAATTTTGAATTGAAAGTTATGGACTTAACATTCTCACATTGGATTAGCGGCCGGTGTCAACTCTGAAATATGGCGTTTTGCTGGGGGCATGTAACATCTGTGTCCATAATATCACCATAGTCCATAATATCGCCACCTTGAGAAACAGTGTGCTTTAAGATATTTTTACAGCAACATACTTTTGGTATGCACTCCTTCACACATCAAATGTACATACCAAGGGTATGTTGCAGTAAAAATATCTTTAAGCACACTATTTCTCAAGGTGGCGATATTATGGACCATAGTGATATTATGGACACAGATGTTATAAGTTTATCAGAAAAAAAAGCATCTGATTCCAAAGCCACCATTGCCTTTAAAATTACTTTGTCGTCTAGTAACGAATTCCGCCGTACTGGCCCTAAATCACATTTCAGATTTTGTTACCAAATCAGGGGACAAAACGCGAATACCTTCTTGTGATAGTCCTTCCAACAAGCGTTCCGAAAATGTATGATAACCATGTTGAGTGAGTTCGTAGCTTTGACCTTTCAAGAATTGCAACTTAGATGAAATGAAACGAAGCAAATTTACCGAAACCCGGTTACATGTTATATTTCACCCCTGCCCCCAGTCCTTTTGAAGAATTGCTGATTTCATTTAATTTGTAGATGACATTACGTGGAGCGACGTTCTATGACGTTCGCATTGACAGTGTTCAGTGACTTCGCTACATTTGAATCAACCCTTGTCACTTTAGATGTAGCAAGTCATCTACCATGTTTCAAAGGACGCATGGTTGGCTTTTTGATATATACACTGTGAAGTTTCGTTTGAATGATATGCTTATCTAGTTATGGTATCTGTGGTTCTGTCTTTCTGTTTTGGGACATTATTTTCAATGTCAACCAGATTTTGCTTTTTTAATGTCGTTTCAGATTTAACATGACGAGAATTAATTCATATACACAACCAAGTCGTACTGACAGATTTCATACTTTGAATTTCTCTGGCCGGATATATCTTTCCACAGCACAGTACGTGGAAGGTCCTCCAAAAATTCATTAAGTTCATCCAGTTCTTCCCTTCCCAATGGTAAACTCAGCACTATCTATCACGATTCACAACTATATAGTGAATCGAAGATTTTAGACTCTCGGAAATTCCAAAAATAATTCAAGTTCACCCCATTTCCTGTGTCTGACACAGACACACAAACCCACAGCTCAGCCAGCCAAAATTGTACTTCCGTACTGACGTTTCAGACATGATTCTAACTTATTAATGACCCTACTATGAATTATTTATGTTATTGTAAACAAGCATCAGAATTCAGCCTTGTACGTTACGGCTGCCAGTCATGCGTTTAACCAATAAACATTATAACAAACAAACAAACAAACATTTCTAGAATCAGTTTAAGTATAATTGAGAGCACGCAAATATCACTTCAAAATAACGAAACCTAATCTGTAAGCAGATCTTTCGGTGGCCGCAAAATACTGTACTAGTACCAACTTGGCCAGGCAGTATCCATTGGCCAGGCAGTATCCATTAGCCAGGCAGTATCCATTGGCCAGGCAGTATCCATTAGCCAGGCAGT